ATTTGTTGAAAAACAACGTGTTTTCGACAAATAGAAAATTATAAAAACTATATGAATATTGTTTACATTTAATCAATATTCTAAAAATTATTATTTCAATAGAACTGTAATTTAGTTTTTTGGTTGATATGCCATTTTTTTTTTTGCCAGCGATAGAAAATGTTACGAAGCTAAGATTTACATTATGTCTTATTACTATAAAAGGGTTGATAAAACGAATAATTGTATGTGATATTATGATAGCCTAATTGATTTTGAGCTTGTGAAAAAAAAGCATTAAGAACATGTTGAAGTTAAGTTAAACCTTTTGGAACGATATCAACAGATTATTTTATATAGGCGTATTATTTATTGCCCACCGCAAGGAGGTGCAGATGTAATTAAATTTACTGCATTTTTCCAAACACTAGGACAACGATTCATTGCTGGTGGTGACTACAATGCCAAGCACTCTCACTGGGGATCAAGACTGATCACTCCGAAAGGGCGTGCTCTACTAAAAGTAGCTAACACTATAAACGCTGAAATAATTTCTACTAGAGAGCCAACCTACTGGCCAACCGATTCCAAGAAAATCCCCGACCTGCTTGACTTCTTCGTAATTAAAGGCATCTCCTCTTAATTATGTTGAAGCTGAAGGACTAACAGAGCTAACGTCCGACCACATCCCTGTGTTATTATCGTTAAGCTCAAATGTCATTATGAAAACGATGTTCTAACAAACAAATACACAGACTGGTCCCTGTTTAGAAATACTCTGGAAGAAGCTATCACTCTTCTGTGCGGTTAAAATCGTCAACAGACATTGAAATAGCAGTACATAAACTGACTAATGACATTGTTGAAGCGGCAAAAACGGCATCACCTGAAGCTCAAAAAGGCGACGACCGCGAGTTCAGCTATCCAAAAGAAATCAGAGAGCTTGTTCGACAAAGCGGCGATCAAGACGAACTTGGCACAGAACTCGACACCCATCAGCAAATTGCTACATGATAAAATCAAAGAAGTGAAAAATGAAACATTTAAATCGTATTTGTGTGGCTTATCTGCAACAGCCGATTCCGATTACTCGTTATGGAAAGCCACGAGACGATTAAAAAGACCTCGCGTTCATATACCACCCATCAGAAAGGAAGATGGCACTTGGGCGCGCAGTGAACAAGATAAAGCTGAAGTACACGGACATCATGTCGAACGTGTATTTCAACCAAACGACATAATTTCTGAACTTGACAGCATTCAATGTCAGCCACTCATTTCTACAAGAGAAATCGTACGGCACTTTACACCACTTGAAGTAGCCCATGAAATCGATACCAACATCAACGCGAAAAAGGCACCTGGATACGATGAGATAAGTCCACGCATCCTTAAAGAGCTACCTAAGAAGGCAATCATCCACCTTACACCTCACATCTTCAACGCCATCTTGCAATGGAAAAGAGCGGAGGTAATTATGTTGCTCGAACCTGGGAAACCGCCCGAACAAGCCACCTCTTATCGGCCGGTATCGCTTCTACCATGCATGTCAAAACTATTCGAAAAACTTCTTCTCAAGCGTCTTAGCCCACTTATTGAAGCAAAACAACTAATACCAGATCGCCAGTTTGGATTCCGCTATAAACATTCGACCATCGACCAAGTTCATCGCGTAACGAACGTGATCAGTAAGGCGTTGGAAGAGAAAAATTACTGCTATGGTGTATTCCTTGATGTGGCCCAAGCTTTTGATAAAGTTTGGCACAAAGGTTTATTACTAAAACTGCAAGAGCAGCTCCCACATACGTGGTGTGCACTTCTCAAATCATATCTGACTGAAAGACAGTTTCGAGTTAGATACGAAGAAGCGACCACTAACTGGAAGAGTATATCAGCTGGTAGTACCTCAAGGTAGTGTTCTCGAACCTATTTTGTACCTACTCTGTACAGCTGATATTCCAACTAATGATGAAGCCATTCGACTTAGTCTAATTATTAGATTAAAAATGGGACTACTTCACTGGAAGAAGAACCATACACATGTTTTGTATATGTAAATATATATTTTACTCATATGTATGTATTAATACTCTTTTGATTTATATTTATAAAGATTCGTTTAAATAAAAATGCCCTAAGGCAATTAAAAAAAAAAAAATATAGGCGTAACCTAACTTTGACATGTATTTAATTGAATTGTAATTTACAATAACTAAGGTAGTTGAGTCTAAGTCATCAGAACGTTACACATATCTGTTTTTTTCAAACCAATGTATTTGTACATGGGTAACCTACATATTTTTTTTATTATAATATAAAATTGTGTTATTATTATTTATTTGAACAATACACGCGCTCGATATTTTTCTGCTTGTGTGTGAAAACTTGGATTGTACTCAAACTGAAAGGGTTCTGTCCCTCCGCCCTCGGAATTCAGTTTCGGGAAGAGTAAGGCCACATAATTATAGTGTTCAAATATGTTATTTTCAACACAAATATGATGCTTGTTTGTTGGTTTTGTACTTTTAAAGTCAATATTAAATTTACTTAGATTTCTGTAGTTAATAGACTTAATACATAAGACGTGTATAGAGTAACCAAACAAAATCCACCTTGACATTATTAGAGGCCTCTACACCTGTGTATTTTCTATCGAACACAACTGTTTTGAAATTTAACCGTACTCTGAAAACTGGTACACATTTTTCAATAATGGTTTGTGCATAATTCGTAGTACATTTTAAATTGTGGTTTTAAATCTTGTTGTAAAGATTATTGTTAATGTTATTTTTATTCGCAATTCTTTTTACCGGCCGATCACACTATTTCCTTGTGATTTTTATTAATACCTAACAACAAATTTTACGCACCTTTGTAATCTATAAGCAAATTATTAATTGAAAACAAAACTGTATATTTCAATTAACCAAAATCTCACAAATATTCGCTTGAACAAAAGTTATTTCATTTGTCTTATCTTTGTGGGACACCCTGTATACTGAACCATATAAACACTTTTTATTTGAATTCTAGCTATATGTGTATTGAAATGATTTTTTCATATTTTTATTATAAATATATTCCCCCTAATACACATTTAAAGTACACATTTAATTTGTTTAATTACGTCATTGCCTTTTCAATCGCTTTTATCGGTGATTGATATAATATTTACCATCTACAGATTTGCATTGAAAGCGTTTTTTTAATAATGTTTTATCATTTTCAATATATGTACATTAAGATTCCTATTTTGTCTTATAACAGATAATAATCATATATTTAAAATAAAATATAATATATGTTAAAAATGTTAATAAATTGTAACAACTAACATCCATAGGTATGTTTCATTTGTTTACATTGCTACAGTAATTTCAGAAAAATGTTTCTGAAATAGTCGAATACATAAAATTATGATTAAACTCTAATAAGCTCATTATAAAGCTAAATTTTTTCCAGGAGACAAACAATATTAATATGTAATAATATTAAACTATTTTAAAATAATTGTAAATATATAAACTTAGTTCCTGTTTATAACTTGTGACCAAAATAATGTAAAATTACATACCTGTTTTGATAAACAATTAAAATGTTAATTCAAACACAAAATAAGTGTCCTTAAAAACAACGAATATTTTATTTTCTTGCTATACCTACATTTAATCATCCTTAAAAATCGAGGAATTAGTTTATTCATAATTTACTCTTTGAAAAACAAAACATGTAATTATGTAAGTTGTTCAAAAGTTAGGAAACACTTGATTTTCAGCTTAAGTCAATCTAATATTTTACAAATACCCTATTATAATAACATCACTTTCAATCCTTAAAATAAAATTCAATATGTTCAAGTATTCATATACATACTTGTGACATAAAATAACAACAACCAAATTATTAATTCAAAAGAACTGTAATTTAGTATTTTGCTTGATAGGATATTTTTTTTTTTGCCAGCGATAGAAAAAGCTAGAAACGAAGCTAAGATTTACATTATTTCTTATAACTACAAAAGTGTTGATTGAAACGAATAATTGTATGTGATATTCTGATAGCTTAATTGGCCTGAGCTTGTGAAAAAAAAGCATTAAGAACATGTTGAAGTTAAGTTAAGCCTTTTGGAACGATATCAACAGATTATTTTACATAGGCGTAACTTAAATTTGACATGTTTTTAATTGAATTGTAATTTACAATAACTAAAGCAGATGAGTCTAAATCGTCAGAACGTTACACATATCTGTTTTTTTCAAAACAATGTATTTGTACATGAGTAACCTACATATTTTTTTAGTTTTATTTGAAAACATGTTATTATTTGAACAATACACGCGCACGATATTATTCTGCTCGTGTATGAAAATTCGGATTGTACTTAGACTGAAAGGCTTCTGTCCCTCGAAAATTTTAATCTAGATTCACCCCAAACAAGTTTTATTTATACGCCGAATTTGAATTTTTATAACAGATATCAATTCTTGACAGTTCTTTTACCGGCCGATCTCTCCATTTTATAGTTTTTTTTTATTAATAACTAACAAAAACTGCATGCATTTTTGTAACCTGCTATTAGCTAATAATTTGTGAAAATAAGAAGCTCTACAAAACGGCTATAGTAATAATTGAAGATACATTTTGGGGAACAAAAACCTATCCGTAGTCAAAGTCCGCAAATTTCTACCCTATCCCACAGAAGGGGAGGAAACATTTGACTATATTTATCTTTTTCGAGCTAAGTTTTAGGACTGAAGGTCTGAAAATTAGGCTGAATGTAGATCTAACGCGGGGCTAAAAAAAAGTGAGACATTTTTCGGCTGAATCAACAGCGAACCATGTTTATTCGATTCGAACGCTTAACAATGTGGTTTATCGTCTTTCTGGCGTACTCTTAGCAAATTTAAAACCGAGGGCCCTCCAATTTCGGACGCATTACATTTGTGTTGGTTTATTTTAAATTATTGTTGTTTACTATGTATGGTCAGGTGTAGTTTCTATAGTTCTGTTAACGGGTCGACATAGGTAACTCGAGCTTCATTCGTTAAATTCCCTCACATTCCTACGGTTGTTCTTAACGTTTAATACTCTCAGTCGCGTTATTATGGCAACTATCAGATACTTCTTTATTGTTTTATCTGTCTGCGTTTTCAGTACGTTCGCAGACGGTACGTATAATTTTTATTTCATTTTTATACCACGATCCATAGATCAACAATATACTATATACTAACTTAGTTTATGATTTATCTAAGCAACTAATTATATTCTTGCAATACATTTATCGCTTTTTTTTTTTTTTAGATTCATACGAAAAAGATGCCATGGCTATCTATAAATTAACTGACGGTAATTAAAATTATGTAACTATATTAACTATACTCATAATATTATGTAAATGTTATACTATTATAATGATAATCATAAGCGAACTTAAGCTTTGCATATGTTATCTATATATTTATATATATTAGTAAAATAATTTGTTTACAAGAACAATTTACCAATCAATTGTACCACATTTATTAAAACGTCAACTACATTGAAAACACCCGAAAATAATTACAATTTTAAATAATATTATTCATCTTTATTTTTTGACTAAAAAGAAAATCTTGGAACCTTTGCAACCAAGTCCCTGATAAATTTATTAGGGCTCACCAGAGGGTCTACGCTTTTCTTTTTAGAAAAAACATTATTTAAAATTGTAGTTATTTTTGGTTCTTTTCAAAGCAATTGATGTTTTAAAAAATTTGATTCAATTAATTAATCGGCTTATTGATTTTGTAAAAAAATTATTTTTTGACTTTTTTTAGTTGAATTTTTTTTTTACTTGCAACTTCTTTAATCGCAAGCAGAAAATAATCTCCAAAATGCGGTTTTCTATCAATGATTCTAACAAACTAAATAGAATATATAAATAATGCATTCTTATAATGATCCCCGAACGTTGATTTATTATAATTAATTTTATCTGATATAATACTAACAATTTTGAAATGGGATAGATTTGAAATTGCGACCACGGAGTAGATTTTAATTGTATTAGTTCCTTAGTTCCTAAGTGTTATTTCAAATTAAGGTTACAAAATAGTTTGAGTTTAGAAAAAAAATAATAATGAAATGTTCCTTACTGAGTTAATTGTTAAAAATTGCTTAAGTTATAAGAAAAATTCATTAAAAACCAATAACGCTTTATAAAATATTGTAAATTATAAATTTTATGTTCTATATTATAGTTTGATTTAAATAAAGAAAAACATTTTTATGTAAAATAAATTAATTGTACTGTTCAAATTAATAAGATAGATTCAAATGTACTATATTATAAGGATAAAGAAGATTTGAATACAAATTGAAAGATTATAAGTTACTAGAATGGCGAGGTTAGGAATAGTATTATAATGCGTATAGACCATTTAAGTACTGGCTGGACCTCTCAAACTGTCTGAAATTTGCTATAAAATACAAATCTACCTCATCATCCCCTATTATTTATGGACCAGAAACTTTTTTCCAAATTTGACGAAGTCATTCATTAGATTTATTAAAAACATTTTGTTTATTGGTTCAAATTAGAGTCTATTGTTTTTTATCAAAATCAAACTAGAATCTTATTGAATCTTTTAATATTAACTAGTATAATAGTCGGTTGGTAATCACATAATTAAATTATTTGTTAAATTTATATCTTTTTTTTTATTCCAGAGACGGCTTTTATAATGTTTGTAGAAAAAGGTAATAATATAATAATATGGGTTCTCGGATAAAATGTTATTATATATTACTTTTCTTGCAGATGGCATAAATCCGCAAAATAAAGATCCAAGTAAATATGGTATTTTTAAATTTAGATTTATGTAAAATTTTATCATTTTTTTCATTGCAGAGGTAGATCCAGGTTTCGTTAATCAAGGTAATATAAAATTGTTTAATATATAGTTAAGTAAAATATATATATACAGGGTGTCATCTAAAGTTCTACCGAGCTTCAAATGAGACATTCAGGATGCTCTATGGGTAAAATAAATGGTATTAATTTTTTTTTTAATTTTAAAATTATTTAAAATAGATCTCGTATCTCATTAAAAAATTGTCTTACAGAAAAAAATAATGTCAGATTTGAAATTGGGAGAAAAAATCTTGTTGAATTGATATGTAACACGATTTTTTGGTATCTGGCCACATTTGCGTCCACCAAGTGGCCACTAAGTGGCCGGCGTGTGACCCAAACCAACATAATATGGTACAGGACACATCATTATCGGTTAGAATTTTATTCTCAATTCAGAGTCGTTAGAATTATTTTATATTAAATTATGTGTCGCATGCCACATGTTGGTTTTAGTCACATGCTGGCTATTCAGTGGCCACTTGGTAGACGCAAATGTGGCCAGATACCAAAAAATCTTGTTACATATCAATTCAGCAAGATTTTTTCTCCCGATTTCAAATCTGAAATTATTTTTTGTGTAAGACAATTTTTTAATGAGATACGAGTTCTATTTTAAATAATTTTAAAATTAAAAAAAAATGAATACCATTTATTGTACCCATAGAGCATTCTGAATGTCTCATGGCACTCTATATATAGGTTGGGGCATAGGGGTGATAGTTTATATTAGGATCAGAGAGATCATAGATTTTTTTTGGAATTTTTATAACTGAAAGTAATGAAATACCTTTTGAATAAACATTTCCATCAAAATCCATGACAATAATATTCATAGACTTGCTAAATGAACGAATCGGTCCAGCGTTTTCGCCCTTATAATTTTTAAGCACTATTTCCTCATTCGATAACCGAAAGTGATAAAATTGGTTTTTAAAAATTTAGTAAAAACTGTAATTTAAACCTTAATTTAATTTGTGCCCCCCCCCTCCCACTCACCCCTCGGAGTGTCCACGATTTGCAAGACCTATAGAAAATTATTTCAACACAGATACTTTACAATTGTGTAAAACATTTTACATAATATAATATATTTCATTAAAAACTTTTCTGCTTTACAGAAGCGGTGTTTATTCTAAAACAATCGTGAGTGTTTATATTCTTATCAACGCTCTAATAGACATATTTCAATATAATTTAATACAATTGAGAGGATATTTAAAAAAAAAGTTTGAACTATTTTATTTTACTTATCTTTTAGTAAAGATCATAAAGCCTATATGGATGTTATCGTTAAGCTTCTAGCAAAGGGGATAAAAGAAGCTAAGAGGTACGGAAAAAGGTTTACTTTCAAAATAGCAGAAATAACATTTGGAACTATATTCGTCCAAAGACAATGATAATTCTTGGGGAAAAAAGAAAACCTTATTCTAAAAAGTTTGAAAAAAGATAATGTAATCACAATTGGCGAATAATAATATATTTTAAATTTTAAATAAACATAAAATTATAATAGTTTTATTTATAACAATATAATGTTCTAATAACACAATAAAAATATTTTGAATCATATAATATATAATCATGTGTTTTTGGTATTTTCCTAATTTTCCTTAAAAACTTCTTTGTGGCTATTGCAATCCTCAACCAATTACGTGCTTATTTGTTTATGAGATACTTTAGTTTATTTCCGTCTATAGAGCAATTTTAGTCTAATAAGCCAAAACTTCTTTTTCGAATTTTACCCCAGTCCCAAAAATTACTTGGAAAACTATCTTTATCACAGATTTTTACCTACAGACATTTTTACAAAATCTGAGTCAAGTCCACAGCTTAATTACAAATTGTCCATTTTTATGGTGGTAAAGATAATATATAAGTGAATTATTCATTATTTGCTACGATCTGGTAGCAAATCACTTAACCTTAGCTTGACTTCCTCAAAATCAACGAAATGTCACTTATACCAATTTTGTTCTAGGCGCCTCATAATATATGATATTTAGTATTATCAAATTCCATGTACATTAAGCAGATTAAGCCCATTTTCATTTAAAAATGTCAGTGTCTTGTAATTAAAGACCAAATTAAATCTGGAAACAAAAATTTTAAATTATTCCTACAAGACCTAGTTAAATTCGACTCGTATACCTTTACACAGTTCAAATCGGACCCTCCTAAGTAGTCGACATTTTCTTTAGCTTTTTTGTTAAAAACGTCAAAAAAACAGACCACATGAAACTCCCCTAATAAGTACAAAAATATCGGTTTGGTATATTTAAAGGTTTGTTTTATTCAATAAATATTATTATTAATTATAAATATTATAGATTATAGATAATATTTATAATAATCAATGATAATATGTATTGTAGGAAACAATTGAAAAATTCATTTTTTTTTTATTGTAAAATCAGGGTTCTACAATACAAGAAAATAAATAGTTCAAACATTTAAGTACACAAATAAAATAAATTTGAATACTTTAAAAAACAGCTTGTTTTCGACAAAAACTCTAATAGCTTTTGTAATACATTATGTTAAAACTTAAAAATGTATGATACCTACAGTTCTTTGTCGTTATTTTAATGGAAAACAGATGTTGTGAAAAACATCTTGTTTCTGAAAAGAATAAAATAAAACTATACAAATTATTGTAAAATACTGTATATTATAATGTAAGAAAATAAATCGATTGCTTTTGTGTAAACATAATATTGAAATCACGTTTAAATATATAAAGGCACTATAGTTGTATGATTAAAGGTTACGCCTTAGCATGTATTATATTAGTTTGTTATGTGATAATAACACTTGTTTTCGACCAAAAACAAAACTATACGTTTTTTTGTGTGAAAAATGACATTGTTGAAAATGTTAAATTTTATAGATTGTAACTACTAACAACCATAGGTATTTTTCATTTGTTAACATCGCTACAGTAATTTCAGAAAAATGGTAGATAAAACACTTAAATACACCATCGACAAAACAAAATATGAAAACAACTTGTACTTGCTAAAGGACAATAATTAAGTTGAAACTTTATTATAACAGCATACATTTGTCATGTAAGATAGTCGAATACGCAAAACAAGTACCTAACAATCGACCTAGTTTTTTTCAAATGTCAACAAATGTTTTAAATCCAAAAATTTGTAATCGAAATTCATTAAACAATGTCAGTGTTTGATTTTTTATTTTTATCAATCTGTTCGTTTTAATAAAAATATATGCTTTTTTGGGGAGTTGGCGAGCCACATCGGCTGTGATTAAATCTAAACCCGGAGATTTTTTGAGAGGAAACCGGTCCAACATGGTATTGGATTTCGCCCGGAGTGGACGGTTTGGGAGCAAAGTAGAGAGGCATAGGGGAGGTCAAGGTTTTATTGACATGCTTTACAAATACGTTGTTAGGGATGTCGTGGTGGGGTTGAAAGACATTTATCAAGTGCGAGCGGAAGAGTTCAGACTTTTATTCGTCTGATTTGCACCAAGAGATGTCATCTTTTTTTAAGGGAGAGTTGATGGGTTTTTGTTTTAGACAATTTCGCGTAGCCCTCCACAGGGAACCATCCTTTGAAGTAAGTGAGGAAATCCAGGAGATGAAGTTGTCGTTTCTTAGACGGTTTAATGTTCGTTTAAGAGACGATGCAACATTGTTAAATATCTGTTTGTCGGATGGTAGTCGGGTGCGTTGCCATATAGCTCTGGCGCGCCGTTTTTTTTGCTATTAGCTCACGGATATGGATTGGGATCAGGGTGGTGTTTTGGGGTTTGGGATGTTTTTTGATAGATGAGTTCCAGGCAGCTGATTGTATTATGTTAGTGAAATTTTGGACGGCTTCTTCAATATCATTTGGGAGTTTAAGTCGAGTTTTAAGTTGTATTTTTTGTTCGATGGTTGCGCGGAAGTTAGCCCAGTCCATAGAGCCATCTATGAGGCTAGGTCGATGGGGCCGAAGCGAGGGTTAAATATACAATATTAAGCACAAATAAAAACACCTTTATCCTATAATTTTTGTTTTAATAAACATATTTAAGATCCACTCGTAGGTCAGATAAGCATAAATGATATGTGCTATAATACATGATAAAAAATATAATTCTTTTTGTATTTACTCTATAATAAAGAAAAAATAACAAAAATTAGAGGTACTCGTACTACACAGCTGGAGCAACTAAGGAATTTTATTGAACCTAATGGTTACTTTTTTTGGGACACTATGGTTACATGAGTAAAAGGGTAAAGTCAGTAGCCAGTAAAGATATAAGCCAATTTTGGTTATTAATAATAACAATTTATTACAATGCACTTATAAACGTTTTCAAAATATACATAACACGCATAAACTAGGCCGAATGGGGGGGGGGGGCAATTGCCCCATCGTCCCTGCCATCTAAAATCCGCCACTGAGTGAAGACCTATAAATTATATTACTATGTTCTGGGATAATATTACAGCTATATTAAAATAATTTTAATGAAAACTTTATTTCGACCAAAAACAAAACTATACATTTTTTTTGTACTGTGTTAAATGTTAAAGATTTTTCATATGTTTACATTGCTGCAGTAACTTAAGAAAAATGGTACAAACACTTAAATATACAAACGACAAAACGAAATATGAAAACAACTAGTTTTTGCTAAAGAGCAATGATAAAGTTGAATTTGTTTGATACCAACAGGCAACAGACATTAATCATTTGTTAACATTGCAACAGACCTTGTGCAATAGTCGAATACAGACAATTTTGTTTAACTCTAATGTAGCTAAATATATTCGGGTGGAAACAAAATTATATTGTAATAATATTATAGACATTTAGAAATAATTATAAAACTATGAAATGTATTTGAGGTTAAATGGTAGTGGTTTCAGGGTTTCTGTTTTAACGTATTATGCTTGTACTATGAATTATTTTCATTTACACAATACCGCTATTTTACAAAAATAATTCAAATAAATTGTTACTTACAAAAACACATTTCCTATGGTACACGGATTTGGCGTAATAGACATAATATTAAAAACCTTTCGTGAGTTCGGGAGTTTCGTGCAGTCGGTTTTTTTTTACGTTTTAGACAAAAAAAACTAAACAAACTATCGACTGTTTTCGTACTTAGGATGGTCCGATTTCAATTCCGTAGGAAACAGATTTTTAATTTTTGTTCCGTTATAAATATTTACTGATATCTTGAGAGTTTATTTTAGATTTTTGATTTCATCATTGGTTGGATACGCTATAACATAGAAATGGCTATTGTTTCTGGTTCTTATGAAATATTTACGTTTGCCTTTAAGTTCAAAACAAAGACTACAACAGATTTATATTGAAACATTATTGAGCTATAACAATGACGATTTTATGGGACCTGCAATCGATCTAAATTGATGCCCTTTATTTGTACGTACAATAGTGACTATAGTTGAAATTAATATACTTCTTGATGTGTCTTTAAAATAAATATTAGTGGTTTAATGTATTTTTTTACTAATTTATATTTGCTATTAATAATATTATTATTTACCACTCATAACTATTATCATTGTTTTGTAGTTATGAGAAACATGTTATAAAATATCATTAAAACATACAACAATTCAAAACCATCATACTTTAGGAAGAAATTTACAAATTGAATCGTGAATTATTATGGAAAACTGTTAAGATGGGTTTTAAAATATTACCTTGCTTATTTTTTATGTTTTCAATATGTCGGAACATGAGAATTGAGAACGGATTTTCGTTGGTTAGCTTGAACTGGGTAACACCTCTAAATTGTAATATTTTGTCTTAATTATGGGTTAATTAAAAGATATTAAAAGAGTTATATTATTTGCCATATATAAGTAAATATTGTTTGTGCTTTTATGCCAAAGAGTGGATCTTAAACATGTTTATTAGAACTAAAATTATATAATAAAGGTATTGTTTTTTATGTGTGCTTATTGTCTATTTGGAAAATATAAAATAAAGTCAAGTAATAGTTTAAACTATTCAAATCAATGTAAATCTGTAAGTTCTCCAGGTAGATTTTGGGACTAGGGTAAAATGCGAAACAAGTTGACTTGATCGATTAGACTGAATATTAATAATAATTGCTCTAGACCTAAATAAAAACAAATGTAAGCTCAAAAAAATTGTCTAAGACATATGTTATACTTGACAATAGCTATAAAGAAGTATTTAAAGGTCAATAACGTATGAAAAACACATGACCATATATTTATATTAAAATATATTTATTGTTTAATTATGACACTATAATGTTATTAAAAATAAAACTATTGTAATTTTATGTTTATTTAAAATTGAAAATGTATAATTATTCAAAAATTGTAATTATATAATTATTTTATTTACACTTCTTAAAATATGGTTTTCTTTTTCATGCCAAGAAGTATCATTTAAAATGAGTATTTTTTTTTTTTTAGTACAATAATATAATTTTAAATATAACAGGAACATAACATAATAATAAAATCATATTAATGCCGCAATCAATAAGATTAAACTTCAGATTGTACTTCATCAACGCTCACAGGTTCAGATTGTCCTTCATCAACGGTTATATGTCCAAAGTCTAGTTCTTTGGCTAATTGATCGTTGTTTAATCCATCTCTATGCGGCAATACCTATATTATTATATATCAGTACCATAACATTATAATATAATCATAATGCCGCAATCAATAAGATAAAAGTTTAAAGTGTCCTACTTCAACGCTTATAGGTCCAAAGTCCAGTTCTTTAGCTTCAAAAGAAAAACTTAATTTGTATATATCATCACCAGGCAACAAGGTCTTTTCAATCTTTTTGAGAGCATCGTGGTAAGCAGGATAATCGGGGCTAAAAGATATTAAAATAAAATGATTATAATCTAATTTTTTTAATATCCTGCACAATACCAATAGTATTTCTTAAAAAATAAGGGAGGTCACTTGGTTAATTTGAAATATTTTTTAGTTACTTTTTTATATTCAGTTTCGTTATACAATATAACAATTAAAGGTGTACCTAATATAAGATGTGATTTAAGACGGTGTGGGGCATAACCACCACGGGATAATATAGAGTTTAAACTTGCCCCTTCCCACCTAAAAAATGTTGGCCTCTTTCTGGCCCACCTAATGCAAAAGTTCTGGCTTAACTAATAGTGACCCTGTAAAGGAACAAATCGAAAATGTTTTTCAAGCGTTGATAAAAATATGAATACTCACTGGTTAGCTATAATGAACATTGAATCTGTAAATCAGAAATATATTTTATTAAATATAATATACAATATAAATTATTTTACAAAATAATAAAATATCTGTGCCGAAATATTTTGGCTTAGGTGTAGCAAAAAATGGCTCTTTCACCCCTTCCCTCAAACTGAATAAAGGTTAAATTACAGGTTTAACTAAATTTAATAAATAAAAATTGGTACAATAGAAAAGTGTTAAACTAAGTGACTTTGTCACTTTTGGTTATAACAAATTCTTTAAACCTGTGACTTCACCGTCTACAATATGACTGAACCCCACTATACAAGCTCTTTCAGAATTTGAAAACTTAAATTAAATATATTTGATACAATAGTGAAATAATTTTGAAGATATATTTTAAATTATAAATAATAAGTTATTGCCATCGAAAAAATGTGTGTCAACTAAATACTCAGCATATTTATGTCTGTTACATGTATAAAAACTATTTTTTTAATAATAAAATAAAAACAATTTATGACAAAATTGAGCTTAAAAATTATAAGGGCCAAATCGATGGATCGATTCGTTCTTTTAGCAAGTCTATGCATTTTATTATCATTATTAATATACGATTGGTTTTATCATAGATTGTGATGGAAATGATTATTTAAAAGGTATTTCAATACTTTCAGTAATAATAGTCCCCAAGAAACTATGACTTATCTGATCCTAGAATAATCCATCACTTTTTTATATATTACTCAAATCTAAAATAAAAAATGTCATAATACCTGGACTAATATGATCTGGATCAAGGGGTCCCGCAGGTGTAACAATTTTACCATCTGCAAGGAAAATATTATAAAATAACAATACATCTTAGAACTTATATTATTATACTTTTACCTTGAGGTACCAACGACAGTAGACCCTCACCTGTGATAAAAAAAAAATATTACTTTAAATCGAACACATAATTTATTTATGTGATTACTAACTGACAATAGTAATTATATAATAGTACTAGTAAGTATTAAAAAATTCGTTAGGTATGGAATATTTTATTTGATTTTGATAAGAAAAATTAGACTCTAATTTTTATCTTTAAAAAAATGTTGTAAAACAAATCTAATGAATGTCTTGGTCAAATTTGGAAAAAAGTTGTGTGCTCCATAAACAAAAGGGGATGATGGGATTTGAATAAATACCACATTATTATTTTTAATTGTATTATTTTATGGCATATTTCAAGAATGAGAATTCCAACCAGTAGTTTAATGGTCTAAACACATAATAATACTTCTTCTAATTTCGCCAATCAAATAATTTATAATTTATCAATTTTGAAATAAAACTTTATATTTTTCAAATTACTTCATTCCTACATTTATAGTACATTTGAATCTGATGGGGGCAGCTCTGAATGTATCTTAGTAATATATTTAAATATGAACAATAGCATTTTATTTAGCTTAGTAAGGAACATTATATTTTATTAATTTGTTTTGGTGTTTTAAATAATACTTAAAAATTAAGTCCCCTATTATTTATTCTAGAATATACGCTATAAGTATAATCATTTATCACAATTGTATGCAAACGAGAGTGTGGTAACTTAATTCACTTTTATTCGGTCTATTCTAATAAAAAAAATATTGTCATTTTAAAAATATTTCCATTGCGGCTTTAGGATTTAAAATTTCAAATCAATTTTTCAATTAAACACTTTTAAACATCTATACATATTGACTAAAAAAATAAGAATTGTCTATATGTAATGAAGTATAAACAAATACGCTTATTAAGTCATAGTTTAAAGATGTTTTACATTTTTTAAAATTGTAGTAATAGACGTTTCAAAAAGTGAAAAACTTTTTTTTACCATTTTTTTGAAAAATATATTTTTTTTAATTGTATTAATTATTTTGACTTAATAAATTACATGTACTATATTATTTAGACCCGCCCAAAAACCAAATGTTATGTTCACCTATGAATATTTTTAGAATAATATGACATTTAAATAATAATATGAGTGTGTAAAGTTCAGGTAAACATATTTATAATTACCGTAAAGATCTGTTCCAAATAGAACTAAATAATCATGTTTGAATCCAACTAAAAAAAAAAAATTAGCGATAATTTATTGTGTTGTGAAAATATGATAGCTGGTTATATAAATCATAGTATATTTATGTATATGAATTGTGTTCATAAAATAATATTATGAATATGGATATTTAAGGTATTTATAATTACCATGTTCATCTGTTGCAAATAGAGCTAATTCATCGTTTTTTAATCCATCTCTATGTGGCAATACCTATAAAGAAGTAATTGAGGTCAATAACTTACGAAAATCACATGATTATATAGTTATATTAGAATGATTTTATTTTGTTACTATGTCATCATATTGTTACTAAAAATGAAACTATTGTAATTTTATGATTATTTAAATATGTAAATGTATTATTATTCGACAATTGTAATTATGTTATTTTATTCATACTTCTTAGAATAAGGTTTTTTTTTCAGTCCAAGAAGTATCATTTATAATTATATATTATTATATATCAGTACCATAACATTATAGTATAATCATAATGCCGCAATCAATAAGATAAAAGTTTAAAGTGTCCTACTTCAACGCTTATAGGTCCAAAGTCCAGTTCTTTAGCTTCAAAAGAAAAACTTAATTTGTGTATATCATCACCAGGCAACAAGGTCTTTTCAATCTTTTTGAGAGCATCGTGGTAAGCAGGATAATCGGGGCTAAAAGATATTAAAATAAAATGATTATAATCTAATTTTTTTAATATCCAGCACAATACCAATAGTATTTCTTAAAAAATAAGGGAGGTCACTTGTTAATTTGAAATATTTTTTAGTTACTTTTTTATATTCAGTTTCGTTATACAATATAACAATTAAAGGTGTACCTAATATAAGATGTGATTTAAGACGGTGTGGGGCATATCCACCACGGGTTAATATAGAGTTTAAACTTGCCCCTTCCCACCTAAAAAATGTTGGCCTCTTTCTGGCCCACCTATTGCAAAAGTTCTGGCTTAACTAATAGTGACCCTGTAAAGGAACAAATTGAACATGTTTTTCAAGCGTTGATAAAAATATGAATACTCACTGGTTAGCTATAATGAACATCGAATCTGTAAATCAGAAATATATTTTATTAAATATAATATACAATATAAACTATTTTACAAAATAATAAAATATCTGTGCCGAAATATTTTGCCTTAGGTGTAGCAAAAAATGGCTCTTTCACCCCTTCCCTCAAACTGAATAAAGGTTAAATTACAGGTTTAACTAAATTTAATAAATAAAAATTGGTACAATAGAAAAGTGTTAAACTAAGTGACTTTGTCACTTTTGGTTATAACAAATTCTTTAAACCTGTGACTTCACCGTCTACAATATGACTGAACCCCACTATACAAGCTCTTTCAGAATTTGAAAACTTAAATTAAATATATTTGATACAATAGTGAAATAATTTTGAAGATATATTTAAAATTATAAATAACAAGTTATTGCAATCGAAAAAATGTGTGTCAACTAAATACTCAGCATATTTATGTCTGTTACATGTATAACAACTATTTTTTTAATAATAAAATAAAAACAATTTATGACAAAATAGACCTTAAAAATTATAAGGGCCAAATCGATGGACCGATTTGTTCATTTAGGTATTATCATAGATTGTGATGGAAATGATTATTTAAAAGGTATTTCAATACTTTCAGTAATAATAGTCCCCAAGAAACTATGACTTATCTGATCCTAGAATAATCCATCCCTTTTTATATATTACTCAAATCTAAAATAAAAAATGTCATAATACCTGGACTAATATGATCTGGATCAAGGGGTCCCGCAGGTGTAACAATTTTACCATCTGCAAGGAAAATATTATAAAATAACAATACATCTTAGAACTTATATTATTCTACTTTTACCTTGAGGTACCAACGACAGAATACCCTTGCCTGGAATAAAAAAAAATATTTCTTTAAATCGAACACATAAATTATTGTTTTTTTATTAATAATCTTTTATAACTTTAACATTACATAAGACTTAGGAATAAGTCCCCTATTATGATTATTTACCACAATTTAATGTAAACGAGAGTGTGGTAACTTTATTAACTTGTATTCGGTGTATTCTAATTATATTATGATAATATGATATTTACATAATATTATGAGTATGTTAAGTTAAGGTAAACATATTTGTAACTACCGTAAAGATCTGTTCCAAAGAGAACTAAGTCATCTGGTTTAAATCCATCTAAAAAAAAATTAGCGATAAATGTATTGTGAAAACATAATAGCTGGTTGTATAAATCCTAGAATATTTTTATTTATATTTAGGTATTTAATTGTATCTATGAATAATTGTGGTATAAAAATGAAATATAAATTATACGTACGATTTGCAAACGTACAGACAACACAGACAGATAAAACAATAAAGTAATAACTGACAGTTGCCATTATAATGCGGATAAGAGTATATTGCGGTAAACGTTAAGAACAACTGTAGGAATGTGAGGGAATTTAACGAATGAAGATCGAGTTACCTATGTCGATCCGTTAGCAAAAATACAGAAACTACACCTGATCATACAGAGTAAACAGCAATAATGTAATGTGTGCCATACATTCGGGAGGGACCTCGGTATTTAATTTGCAAAGAGTATGTAAAGCGTTCGAACTGAATAAATATTGTTCATTGTTGATTCAGCCAAAAAATTCCCTACATTTTGTCAGCCCTGCACTAGATCTACCTTCAGTCTAATGTTCAGACCACGAGTCCTAAAACTTTGATGGAAAAAGATAATTATAGACAACAATTTTCACTCGTTCTAAGGAATAGGGTTTGGGAAATTGTTTGGGTTCGTCATATCCGAGTCCGTGCCAAGCGGTCACGGCTAAAAGGATTGCCTTAACTGGCTGGTAGTCATGGAATTCGCCTTTGGTTGGACAAAATAAAGGACCACGCCTTGGTTGTTAGGTAAACGCAAAGGGAAAAAACCCTACAAACCGAACATGATCAGTTTTAAAAAAATAAAAGGAAAAAGGAAAATTACCACAATGTAGGGGTTAAAAAAAATTATGCTACACATGAATAATATTAATAAATTTCTCATTTTATTCGATATGTCTTAAGATTACTTTCAACAACGGAGTACAAATTAATTTCATTTACTCATATGGAGGCCCATTCTTTTTAGGGCGGAATAATAAATTAATTTTCCGGGCCGGGTCAGGTTGGGCTGAATAAAAGTTATCGGTGTATGGCTTGTGTGTGAAGGTTTGTTTTATTCAATATGTTATGAGATAATATTACTGCTATATAAAAATAATTTTAATGAAAACTTGATTTCGACCAAAAACAAAACTATACATTTTTTTTGTACTGTGTTAAATTTTAAAGATGTTTTATTTGTTTACATTGCTACAGTAATTTCAGAAAATTGATTCCAACACTTAAATACATAAACGACAAAACAAAATATGAAAACAACTTGTTTTTGCCGAAGAATAATAATAATATTGAAACTTTACGATACCAACATATACATTTGTCATTTGTTTACATTGCAACACACCTTGTGCAATAGTCGAACACATATAATTTTGTTTAATTCTAATGTAGCTAAATCTATTCGAGTGGAAACAAAATTATATTGTAATAATATTATAGACATTTAAAAATAATTATAAAAATATAAAATGTATATGAGGTTAAATGGTAGTGGTTTCAGGGTTTCTATTTAAAACGTATTAAGCTTGTACTATAAATTATTTTTATTTACATAATACCCATATTTTACAAAAATGATTCAAATAAATTGTTACTTACAAAAACACATTTACTTTAACTACCGAAAATTGCACCAAAATTAGTTAAATAACTTTTTAGTAACAAATGAAATTGCAGTTGTCAATAAAAACTCACAAACATAAAACCATATTATTAAAATACCAGGCTCCATGTCAAAGACTGACAAACAGTTTAAATTTATATTTTGTAAGTTATAGATAACTTGTAATCCAACAATTTATACATTTTGTTATTATTGTGTTTCTTATATTAGATTGTCTAAATAGTTTATTCTGCATTAAACTCATTGTATTATTGTAAATAAATAGTTTATAATTCATAATAGAAGAGGGTATCCAATATTTTCTGAGTGATGACTAATAAATTGTTGAGTTAATATAAGTAATTATATAAAATAAATTAATTGGATTTTTATGTTTTAATATGTCTATTACGCCAAATCCTATGGTACACAGATTTGGCGTAATAGGCATATTAAAAGCCATAGGAAACGAATAGATTAGTGTAAATTTAAAGTTTAAACACTGACATTCTTTAAAATGTATAGTCTACACGTTTATGGAATTAAAAACATATGCTTGTATTTGAAAATTTTTAAATCCAAAATTTCAATTTTTTAAAGTTTTAATTTTATGTTTTTTAATTTATATTGTAATACTTATTTTGTTAATTTTTGGCGATTATAAAAAAATAGCTAAAAATAAAATAATACTCATTAAGTAGGCAAATTATACACTATGAAACAATTTTTTTTTGTATTTTTGTTGAACTGAATTTTTTTTATTTATAATGGTAAATCTAAATAATTTCACTAAATATTGGTTTTTTTTTTGACCTGGGGCGGAGGAAATGTTTAATTTTTTTCTTTATTTTTTTTATACACTAAAGCGCTAATGTATAATTAGTAGATAAAAATATAAAACTACCATTTCAATTTTAGTCGAATTTTCTGTATTGTACAAAAGCCACGATTTTAACTATTCAATAATTGAATACAGTTAATTATTTTCCAACGAAAATCCTGACCTAGCCTCCAATCAATAGACATAATGGGATACGGACTACGTGTCATTCTTGTCTTACAATATGTTGTAGCAAGTATGAGCATTTAGCTGGGAAGATAAACTGAAGATCATTTAGACCTTGAAACGAGTATTATTTACGTTATCCTCCAAACCCGGGATGAGTTCCAATATGTTTCTGTTAGTCATGTAGCTTTTTAAGTGTTTTATATGTATGTGTTTATTTAACACTATTAGTAATTTTTTCTGTGAGTTGCTTTAGTTTTTCTAAAATTTTACAAATACCCTATGATGATGTAGTTAAGCATGAGCCATCAGAACACATTAGTTACACATCTGGTTTTCTTTAAACTTATGTATTTGTATATGAGTAACCTACATATTTTTCTAGTTAAATATCAAAATATGTTATTATTTTAACAATACACGTGCACGATATTTTTCTACTGGTGTACTCTAACTTAGATTGTACTTAGAGTGAGTGGCTTCTGCAAATTGTAAAGACTGTCAGCGTCTTAACTTTAAATTTACACCAATCTGTTCGTTTTCTATGGTTTTTAATATTATATCTTCTACGCAAAATCCGTGTACCATAGGATTTGGCGTAATAGACATTAAAAAACATAAAAATCCAATTAATTTGATTTATATAATTACTTATACTATCTCAACGATTTATTAGGCACCACTCCGAAAATACGGGATACCCTCTTACATTATGAATAATAAACTATTAATAAACAATAATACAATGAGTTTAATGCAGAATAAGCTATTTAGACAACCTATTAGAAGAAACACAATAATAATAAAATGTATAAATTGTTGGATTACAAGTTATCTATAACTTACAAAATATAAATTTAAACTGTTTGTCAGTCTTTGACATGGAGCCTGGTATTTTAATAATATGGTTTTATGTTTGTGAGTTTTTATTGACAACTGCAATTTCATTTGTTACTAAAAAGTTATTTAACTAATTTTGGTGCAATTTTCGGTAGTTAAAGTAAATGTGTTTTTGTAAGTAACAATTTATTTGAATCATTTTTGTAAAATATGGGTATTGTGTAAATGAAAATAATTCATAGTACAAGCATAATACGATAAACAGAAACCCTGAAACCACTACCATTTAACCTCAAATACATTTCATATTTTTATAATTATTTCTAAATGTCTATAATATTATTACAATATAATTTTGTTTCCACCCGAATATATTTAGCTACATTAGAGTTAAACAAAATTGTCTGTATTCGACTATTGCACAAGGTCTGTTGCAATGTTAACAAATGATTAATGTCTGTTGCCTGTTGGTATCAAACAAATTCAACTTTATCATTGCTCTTTAGCAAAAACTAGTTGTTTTCATATTTCGTTTTGTCGTTTGTATATTTAAGTGTTTGTACCATTTTTCTTGAATTACTGTAGCAATGTAAACATATGAAAAATCTTTAAAATTTAACACAGTACAAAAAATGTGTATAGTTTTGTGTTTGGTGGGAATCAAGTTTTCATGAAAATTATTTTAATATAGCTGTAATTTTATCCCAGTACATAGTAATATAATTTATGGGTCTTTACTCAGTGGCGGATTTTAGATGTTGCCCCTACCATCTAAAATCCGCCATGAGGCAATCGCCCCCCCCCCTCCATTGGGCCGTGTTTTTGGGTGTTATGTATATTTTGAAAATGTTTATAAGTGCATTGTAATAAATTGTTATTATTAATAACCAAAGCTGGCTCATATCTTTACTGGCTACTGACTTTACCTATTTACTCATATAACCATAGTGTCCCAAAAAAAGTAACCATTAAATTCAATAAAATTCCTTAGTTAGCTCCAGCTGTGTAGTACGAGTACCTCTATTTTTTTTTATTTTTTCTTTATTATAGAGTAATTACAAAAAGAATTATATTTTTTATCATGTATTATAGTACATATTATTTATGCTTATCTGACCTACGAGTGGATCTTAAATATGTTTATTAAAACAAAAATTATAGGATAAAAGTGTTTTTTTTTTGTGCTTATTGTTTATTTGAAAAAGATAAAATAAAGTCAAGTAATAGGTTAAAGTATTCATATCAATATAAATCTTTGGTAAAAGTAGTTCTTCCCGGTAGTTTTTGGAACTAGGGTAAAATGCGAATCAAGCAGTTTTGAAAGATTACCCTTAAGTGGCTCTTGACGAAAATAAAAAAGATATAAACACCAAATTGAAAGAGGACTTATGCTATATTTGACAATATCTATAAATAAGTTTTTAAAATCAATCAATCACGAAAAACATATTTTACACATTATATATTTTTATTATGTTATTAAATTAGTAAAACTATTATAATTTAATGTTTATTTAAAATTCAATATGTATTATTATTATTCGACAATTGTGATTTTATTATTTTATTCATACTTAGAATAAGGTTTTCTTTTTTTCCATTCCGAGAAGTATCATTAAAATTAGTATAATAATATAATCATACATCAGTAACATAACATAATAATATAATAAATTTATTAATGCCCAAACCAATAAGATTAAAGTCTAGATCGGAGTTTGTACTTCCTCTACTTCAATTTCTCCAAAGCGCCAATCATTTGGATAAAAAAGCATACGAATTTTGTACTTCTCCTCATCGTCTATCTCCATTTCGTCGAGCTGTTTGATAACATTATCGTAGACAGGAAGACTAATTGGTAATTAAAATAAAATGAATATAACTTTAGTTTTTAATCATCCTGTGAAATAGCATAAGTATATCTTAAAAAATGTATGAGGTCGTGTTTCGATCAGCAAATCGAAAATCGTTCACATAAGGTATTTTATAATGGCAACAATTCAAAATTCATCCCTTCCCTTAAAACAAAAAAAAAAAAAAAATACATATATACCCTTATTATCAGCGATTGAAAACGTTACCCAGGTAAAAACTACTTAATTTGTTATAACCCTCACAAAAGTTGATACAAATTAGCCATTGAACTTAACTGGTTTTGGCCTTGTAAAAAATAAGTTGAAAATGTTTGTCCTAGTAAAACGTTGATAAAAATATGAACACTCACTGTGGTTTTATAAAAAATATCGCATCTGTAAAGGAGAACATTTTTTTATATAGCATGATATTAAATTACACAAATTGTTTTACATAATTATAAAATATCTGTGCCGAAATATTTTTCCATAGGTGTAACAAATGGTGGGCACTTTCCCCCTCACCACAAACTGAATTAATGTTAAATTTAAGTTTTAACTAAATTTATAAAAAAAAAATTCATTTCAAATGTGATTTTACCACTTTTGGTTATAATAATTTCTTTAAACATGTGACCCCCCCCCCCCCGGTCTTCACTATGACTGGACCCCACTGTGGTGGGTTTTTTTAGAATTTGTAATTTTAAATAAAATATAGTTGATACAACAGTAAATAACTTTTGAAGACATACCTTTATTACCATGACCGGGCCATGTACCTGCAATGAAAAATATAATTATAATACAATATTACCTTAATACAATTATTATTTTAACTGAAACTAAATTAAAAAATGTCATATTTACTTCGATAGTCATTTTGCGGATTTTTACCGTCTGCAAGGAAAATATTATAAATTAACATTTTGTCTGAGAACACATATATATTTTATATATATATATATTTTTACCTTCAGATACCAAAAACATAGCACCCGAGTCTGGAATAAAAAACCATATTACTTTAATACTAAAACGTTAATTTAGTATGTGATTATCAACAGACTACAATACCAGTTAATATTTAAATGTTCGGTAATAGTGTTGTTTGATTATGATAAAAAACAATAGACTCTACTTTTAACCAATAATAAAAATGTTTTGAAACAAATTACACAACTTCATTAATTATATAATGATAAATCCAACGAATGCTTTAGTCAGATTTGGAAAAAAGTTTTGTGCTCCATAAATAATAGGGGAAGATAATGTACAATTGGATAAAAGTCACATTATATTTTTCCATAATTTTATAATTATGACATACATAATTCTATACACATTATAATACTATTGCTAACCTCGCCTATCAAATAATTATATTATAATCTATCAAATTTTAAATATTAGCATTATAGTACATTTAAATCTAATCGGGATAGAGTACACTACTGTAAGAAATCATAATTAAAGCTAAACTGAAAAACAAGTCATTATTTTAAAACCGTTACTTTAACAACACTTTAATAACGAAATTATCATCGTTGTTATTTTGTTTACTTTACTTGGAGAAAAAAAAATAGTAACGTTTTCTAAAATAATTATTGTCATTTTGCAAATATTTTCATAACGGTTTTTGTTCTGGGATTAAAAATTTCAAAACTGTTCATTAAATTGGAAATATATTACACAATATATAATTACAATGGCACGTCGGTATTTTAATAATATTTTAACAAAAAGAGTTGCGGCAATATTTTTATTAATTACATTTTATGAGTACTTAAGAGAGTATATGCGCCAATATAAATGTAGTAAATCGGTCAAATATAGTGACCATTTTCTTTAAAGTTACATGTTTTTTGAAAAAATAGTGCCTTAACTATTTAAATAAAATAGTAATCTACTCACAATCATTAAGCACCTTTAAATAAAAGTAAAAAGTGAAAAATAAATTAATACATTTTGTTTAAAAACATGTTTTTCTAAATATTGGTAAAAAAAACTTTTATTTGTAATATATTTTTTTTGTAAAAGTTTTTTGCAAGTACATTAACTAACCATATATTTGTACTACATCTTTTAAAACGTCAATTACTTTGAAACCAATCGAAAATCAACTAAAATTTTAAATAATGTTAAACATCTTTAAATTTTAACTAAAAATATGTGACCCTGTGCAACAAAGGTATAAACAAACTAGCTTTTCTTTTTAGTCCAAATTTAAAGACGTTTAACATTGTTTGAAATTGTATTTTTAAAAACTGAATTACAACCCATTGGTAGATAGTTCTCGTTAAACAATTATTTTTCACTTTTAAGTTCAATTTTTTTTTAAATAAGCATCTTTTAAAAATAATTGTTAATTCAATTTTTTTTTTTACTTAGCAACGCGCCACTACCGTGTCGCTGGATAATCATAGCCAGACATAGGGATAGGTAAGGAAGGCATGAATCCCTTTAATTCGTGTAGAGTGTCCAGTCGGCCAAAACATTTTAATAAATTACATGCACTATATTGTATAGACCCCACTAAAAATGAAGTCTTTTGTTTGCCTATGATTATTGTTATAATAATATGACATTTCCATAATATTATCTGTATGTAATATTGTATACATGTTTAATGTGTTAATTACCCGTAAATCTTGTATAGAGAGCTAAGTCATCTTTTTTGAATCTACCTAAAAAAAAAAATATATATATATGATAGCTAGTAAATCAGAGAATAACATATATGTATAATATTTATATATATATATATGGATTGTGGTATAAAAATTTAAATTATACGTACCATCTGCAAACGTACAGACAACACAGACAGATAAAACAATAAAGTAGTAACTGATAGTTGCCATTATAAATCGAATGAGAGTATACTGCGGTAAACGAGAATGTTAAACGTTAAGAACAACTGTAGGTATGTGAGGGAATCTAACGAATGAAGATCGAGTTACCTGTGTCGAGCAGTTAGCAAAAATATGAAAACTACACCTGATTATACAGAGTAAACAACAATAACTTAAAATATACCAACACAATATAGGTAATGTGTGCCATAAATTCGGGAGGGCCCTCGGTATTTAATTTGCAGAGACGATGCCAGAAAGACGAAGAAACATATTGCAAAGCGTTCAAATTGAGTAAATATTGTTCACTGTTGGTTCAGCTAAAAAAAATTCCATAATTTTTTTTATCCCCGCACTAGATCTACCTTCAGCCTAATTTTCAGACCTTGTGTTCTAAAACGTTGATGGAAAAAGATAAATATAGACAAAAGTTTCCCCCCGTTCTAGGGGATAGGGTTTAGAAATAGGGGAGAAGGAAGAAATTTGCGTTGGCTTTAAATCAAGGTTATCATCCCAAGTAACTAAACATGCGTTAAAATCACTTTGCACCATAAGACAGTAGTTATTTGTATAAATTTTTCTATAAAACTCAGAAATGTTTATAATTTTTACTGAAATTCTGAGGAAGATATCAGATTTTTTAAAAAGTCGGCAATTTCTCAAAAAATATAATATGCTATATTCTCCTGATAAAATTCAGAGATTTCTTTGAATTTTGATTTCTGTGATCGAATTGATTTTTTTTTTTTGTTGGCGAGTACATTTGTTATTAGGTATTAATAAAAATTACAATTGAAATTGAGTGGTAAAGGGTATTGTGAATAATAATAATTTTTACAACAAAATTTAAAACTTCATTTAAAAATGTACTACGATATATGCATCGAATAACTATTGAAAAATGGGTACTAGTTTTCAAAATTATTGTAGTTTAACGCATTTCAGAGTACAGCCAAATAAAAAAATGTGTTGTTTTCGTAAGAAAAGACACAGGTGTTGAGGCCTCTTAATGATGTCAAGGTGAATTTTGCTTTGTTACATTAAACAAGTTATGCGCAGTTATTCTCTTCGCAACTTGAGAACTCGAAGTAAATTTAAAATGGACATTAAAAGTACAAAACAAGAAAACAAGTATCATCTTTCCCTAAAAGAAAATATACTGCAACATGATAATGTCTTGTGGCATTCCCCCTTCTCGAAGCTAAACTATCAGAAGGCGTTCGTCCAAATTGTTTGTTTAGTCATTCAGATAGGTTTTTGTTGTTCCCAAAACTGTATTTTTAATTATTACTATAGCCATTTTTGTAGAGCTTCTAATTTTCACAAATTATTGGCTAATAGACGGTTACAAAAATGCATGCGGTTTTAACTAATGATCAAGTTACCTATGTCGACATAGGTAACAAAAATATAGAAACTACACCTGATCATACAGAACAAACAACAATAACTTTATATATACCAACACAAATGTAATGCGTCCCAAAGATTTGGGGAGGCCCCTCAATTTTTAATATGCAGAGAGCAGGCCAGAAAGACGAAAAACATGTTGAAAGCGTTCGAATTGAGTAAATATTGTTCACTGTTGATTCAGCTTAAAAATGCCCAACTTTTTTTTAGCTTCTCACTAGATCTACCGGCAGTCTAATTTTCAGACCTTGAGTCATAAAACTTTGATGGAAAAAGATTAATATAGACAACATTTTCCACCCCTTCTAGGTTAGGTTAGGTTAGGAATAGGGTTTGGGAAATGGTTTTGGTTTATTAGTACTTTATGCGTCTACTTACTTTATTTTGAAAATATAACATACAATACAAATTTGAAACAAATGGTGTTTTTTTTTTTTTTTTTTTTAATAGCGCGCTGAATATTTTTAATAAGTTCAAAATATGTACATTTTTGAGCTTTTTTTTATTTTAGGTTAGGTTTATTTTAAGTTTTTGAAATGTTTGTTTCAATACTTACATGATAAACTTGTTCATGTAGGACATTAAATGTATTCGTAGATTGATAATATTATCTACCAATAATCATGTTTCGTTTTAATTCAAACTATAAGCTTTTATATTTAATATTGGCCTTAATATCAAATTAGAAAATTTATATTTTTAACGCCGGTTTTTTTTACAAAGATTTACTCGTTGTACCGTTTTTAAAGCTCATTGAAATGTAAACATTTTTTTTTTCATTTAGGTAATAACTAGCTTATAAATTACAAAGATGCATACAGTTTTTGTTAGGTATTCATAAAACCTACAAAAAAATACAGAGACCGGCCGGTAAAATGCTTGTCAGGAATTGGAATATATTATAATAATTTATATTTGGCGTAAGGATGAACCTTTTTTGGGATAGATTGAGATTGATAAAATATCGTGCACGTGAATTGTTAAAATAATAACATATTTTGATATTTAACTAGAAAAATATGTAGGTTACTCATATACAAATACATAAGTTTAAAGAAAACCAGATGTGTAACTAATGTGTTCTGATGGCTCATGCTTAACTACTAGACAAAAAATAATTATTATTAACCGAAATACAAAATTACAGTTCTCTGGAAATAATAATATGGTTGTTCTTAATTTCAAAACAAGTGTCCATATAGATAATTTTATTTTGAGTATTGAAAATGGTGTAATCATCATAGGGTATTTGTAAAATTTTAGAAAAACTAAAGCAACTCACAGAAAAAATTACTAATAGTGTTAAATAAACACATACATATAAAACACTTAAAAAGCTACATGACTAACAGAAACATATTGGATCTCATCCCGGGTTTGGAGGATAACGTAAATAATACTCGTTTCAAGGTCTAAATGATCTTCAGTTTATCTTCCCAGCTAAATGCTCATACTTGCTACAACATATTGTAAGACAAGAATGACACGTAGTCCGTATCCCATTATGTCTATTGATTGGAGGCTAGGTCAGGATTTTCGTTGGAAAATAATTAACTGTATTCAATTATTGAATAGTTAAAATTTGCCTGGCCCATTCAATATTAACTGTTGTCCACAGTTTCTATGCGAATTGCGCGATCCAGGAATAGTTATAACAGCTATATAGTTTAATGGGCTTTGTGGTTCTATTATAATAAAGCATAAGCTCAACATTTCTGTTTTAAAACTTGCAATATCTAATATTTTTAATCACTTTTACAATATGATTTTAAACTACAGTTAAAACTGTTTAATATAACTGTTTTTTTTTTCAAGAGATTCTTTTTTAGAACAGATTCAAAAATAGATTTTCTTTATTTTGATATATGTTTACAATAGTGTGTATAAAGGTAGAGTACTACCTGTTTATGAGAGCGTTGTTTAAAACACATTGTTATAATATTCTAGTACAAAATACAAAGACACCCATACAAGAGTTAAACTTTATTCTCTTTAAAACATTTTATTTTAACATTACGAGAGCTATTATATTTTACAAATCAATTTTTATAGGTTTTGATTTCGTTATTAACGTTTAAGTATGCTATGAAGCAGACAAGCAAATGCACTAAAAATAACCAAGGTTTATTTTTAATTGTATTATGTTTCATTTTTTGTGTTTTTAAATGCTTAAAAGAATTGTTCTGTATGATATTACTCTATTGTTACATACATTATAATGATGACCAATTTTTGTTAAAATCAAAAATAAAGGTTGTATTAAAATATTTGTCATTTGTGTACATTTCAGCTGTCATTGTAAAAAGTGCTGTATTTAATGCAAAAACCCGAAACCTTGGTTTTTGTACAATACGGAAAATGCGAATAAAATTTAAATACTAATTTTCAATTTATATCTATTAACTGTACATTAGTGCCTTAGCGTATAGAAGAATAAAGAAAAAAAAATTAAACATTTTCTCCGCCTCGAGTCAAAAAAACCAATATTCAGAACGATATAAATTTTCCATCATAAATAAATAATTGTAGTTCAACATAAATAAAAAAAATTAGTATGATTTGTCTGCATAATGTGCATTTTTTTATTGTAGCATTGTTTTGGTGGACAAACAATGTAAAAAAAAGCCTGTTTTATTTTTAGTACTTTTTTTATAATCATTAAAATTAACATAAAAAGTAATGTAATATTGTAAGGGGAACTGTAATATCTTAGCAAAAGAATAGAATTCGAACAGAATGATGAAAACTTAAAATCCAAACACTAAAATTGATTAATACATTTCGTCTATAATTTTTGGTTTTAAAAATATTTGTTGCTATTCGAAAAAAACTAGGTCGATACTTGTTTTACGTATACAAGTAAGGGCGTCGGTTTTTTTCAAATGGGAACATATGTTTCTAATTCCATAAACGTGTAGACTACACATTTTTCAAGAATGTCAGAGGATGAACTTTAAATTTTCAATTTATTTTCTTGTATTGAAGCACTCTGTTTTTACAATAATTATAGATTAATTTTTAAATTGTTTTATCAAATACATATTATCATTGATTATAAATATTATCTATAATATAGTATATATAATATCTACAGTATTTATAATCAATGTTAATATGTAATGAATAAAAGAAACCTTTTCAAGAATACCTAACCGAAAATATTGTACTTATGGGAGTTTCGTGCAGTCGGATTTTTTTTTACGTTTTAGACTAAAAAACTAAACAAACTATCGACTATACTTAGGATGGTCCGATTTCAATTTTGTAGGAAACAGATTTTTCATTTTTTTTCTTTTCTCGTGTAAAATAAATTGGGTTTTAATGTTTTAGAATTTTTTTATTGTAGCATAGTTTTGATGGACAAACAATATAAAAAAAAAATCCTGAAACCCTACATTATAATCATTTATATTTGGCGTAAGGATGAACCTTTTTTGGGATAGATTGAGATTGATAAAATATCGTGCCCGTGTATTGTTAAAATAATAACATATTTTGATATTAACTAACTAGAAAATTATGTAGGTTACTTATGTACAAATACGCAGGTTTAAAAAAACCAGACTTGTAACGTTCTGATGGCTTTATAGCTTAACTACTAGACTAAAAAAAAAACAAAATGTCCAAAATACAAACCAATAAACAAAAACACATCAACTAAAATACAAAGTTACAGTTCTGTGGAAATAATAACATTTTTGCATGTTAACAATTAACATATTTAAGA